CACTCTGCATCTGCAAAGAATTCGGCAGCATTTCAAACATCTAAAGACCCAGGCAAGTTCTGAAATAAGTTAGAGTATAACAAAATTTTACTTGCTGACATTAACCAAATGATCTCTATTCCAGATAGGCACGTTATGCTAAAATGACAGATTGGCTTCCCAGGTAGCCATCCTGTGAAATGTATGAGGCAGTGCCCTAGAGCACAACTGGGGCACTGTGATTAACAGCTGTATGAAAAAGCACCCAGCAAAAGGGGTCAGAATTACACATGCCTGTCTAAATTTAAATCTAGCAATTCCTAAAGTCAGACTTGAATATTGTAATCTAACTAATTCTTAGCAGATTGTTGGATGTCATCCCCTGGTAGAAAAAAAAAAAAAAAAAAAAAAAAAATGGAAATGTTGTCATGTATAACAACAATACTCTTTTTCACCATTCATTACCAATAAAGTCTGAGCAATAAACCTTTAGTCTGATGCTTTGTCACCTAGACTGCAAGTCCACAACAACCAAGAAGTGGAGAAAGTCACTGGCAAGACAGTAAAGCTCTTATTTCACATGGCATCAAAGACCAGGAGGGCGAGGAAATGGGCACCTCCAGCCACATAATGCTGTCCTGCCTCCCACTATTCACAGCTGCATTTCAGCACAGCACATGCTGATGCTATTTTGGAGCATGTGTGTTATGGTGTAGGAGATGTGAGGCGGGGAGGAAAGACAAGCCCTGCTCACATTCACATGCTGTGAAAAATATTCCTGCATGAAAAACTCCTTTGGTATTTTTGCAAACAAGTAACAAACACAGTATTTTGAAACAGAGCGCCAAACAAATTTAGAAAATTCACTGTAAACCAAGGGGGTTCAAAAGATTCTTAAAAAATTACTTCAACCCTTTACAACTGAAAGTGATGGCTAAGAGAGAGATGGTTGCAACCTCATAATGACTGGGCCATATTACAGAACAAATCCTCACTTCGGTATCGTGTTCCCCACATCATTTTGTGAACATCATACCTCCCTCTAGATTTTATATTTAAGAACTGTAACAGAGCACTTTAAAAGCATGAGAGCTAACTATTTTCTGCTTTTTCTACCTGTCTGCATTTTGACCAAGACCTTTACCCATTTCCAGCATTTGTGCAAGTCGGTTTACAGTCCTGCCTCACTGACATTGCTGCCCTACATTAACATCAGATCTTCCAGTGCACACCAGCGAGGAAGCACAACTGTACCGGTTAGCAGTGCTCCTGACCTCTGTCAGTTTGTATCTACTCGCACAGTACAAAGCCAACACTCTGGAAATAAATGCTACTATTTACAAAGGTGAGAAAATTATTACTGCTATATTACCAGGCAATATGCCATCACAAAACCAGTATGACAAGAATGCTTAGAGCAGAATTTACTTCATGAATACTTCAAATTGGCCTTTCCTGAATGAAGGACAGCGGTCAGCACTGCTTGTTAGAAAGGACTGTAAGAATTTATTGCCAAAGTACGTGAATGCTACCCATAGCATTAAGTCTTGCTTGAACATTAATATTTAAGCATACTTTTAAACTAAGCCATTTAATAGCTGCAGTGAGTCAAGTAACATTTTACATTATAAGGCATATACGTTGCTGGCTAAAGATCTAGCAACCAAAATCTATATGGTTAGTTGACTTAACTTCAACAGCTTCTGTTTAGCACCAGAACCTAAACTGAAAGACAGGCAGCCTGACAAGCTATCTTTATTTCAACAAAAAACAGAGTTTGGCTGGGTTTATACGTACCTGTGATGAAAGGGGAAAAAAAAAAAAAAGCCACCAAACCCTGAATCACAATTATGTCTCATTAGTAAGTCAGTACCAATTAAGGCCCCACTTTTTGCCCACCTGAGTTTGGCTTTGCTTGCCTGTTGAAAGCAGTATTATTCAGAACAAGAGCTGATTTTCATCTAATCATACTTAACATGAAGAATGTTAAGACAACAATAGTTTCCTTCTTAAGCATGTTTGATACTGCTGCCATAACAACATGCAAATACTTCAGCTTACAACAAAGATATATTCATTCGACCCAGTGCTTATTACCATGCGTTTTGATAAGCCCGCTTTATATTACTTCTAATATATTTACTAAGAAAAGCAGGTAGAAACTTCCCCTGCATTTGAAAATGTACATGAAAGGGGTTTAAAGGAGTATTATTTTTACCAGAAGCCAGTAAATAAATCACTATTTATAAAAAAAAAAAAAAAAAAAAAAAAGAAGTGTTTGCCAGATATTCAAATGGAGCTATAAAGCACCTCTGACTCCGGTAGCATAAATAAACTCGCTGAATGCTTATTTGTAATCCCAGAATATTGTATTACAGTAGTGCTGTCAGGCTACAAGGCAGGAATTTCAAGGCTAGTGAAAATTCAAACCCATTCAAGACTTATTTAAAGAAAGGATGGATTTTCGCACAGGCAAAACTATTCACGATTAATTTATCTAAACGGCTTCTTGAATTATAGTAGCCATATGAAGAAGCCACGAAACGCTGGCCAGGGGCCCTGTGCTTTCTGTCAAAGCCCGGCTGAGCCGCCCGCACCCGCTCCGGGTGCCCCACGCCCCGGCTGCGTGACAGCGCGGGCATGTCTCGCCTCCCCCCGCCTCAGGGCCGGGGGGCTCGGAGCCGCCGAGTGCCTCCAGCCCAAAAAACACCCCCTTGCCCTTCCCCTCGGCGGGGGCCGGGAGCTGCTCCCGCCGCCTCGGGTATTTCGCCCTCCCCGGGGTGGGGGGTGTTCGGGCGCTGCCCGCCGCC